GGAGCTGGCGGCCGCCGAGGAGCCGGGCCGAGTGGAGCCCTTCTGGTACAAGTTCCTGAAGCGCGAGCCCGGAGGAGAGCTCTGCTGGGAAGGTATTGCGGCGTCGCGCAGCGGCCTGCTCCCCTGGCCCGGGCGCCGCCCCGCCTCAGCCCCACCCGGCCCGGCGGCCCAGACCTCGACTTCCCTGCTCCGGCTCAGGCCCAGCCCCGCCGCCCGCGCCGCTCTGCCCTCCGGTTCCTGTGCTTTCCTTCTCCTGTCCCGGTTAGCCTAGAAATGACCCGGCTCCAGAAAAGTCGGCCTTGTCCCTTGTCGGTGCCCCTAACTGTACAGAAATTTCCCTAGATTTTGAGAGTGGACTTATGGGAAGACATAGAGTGGTTCTCTTTTTGGGTTAAAAAGAAAGAGAACCTAGATAGATGACAATTGAGACATGACCTGATTTTTTAAAATATAAAAACAGTACATACTCAAAAAATTTTTTGAAGCACAAAGAATCTATAACATCTTCTCCACTCAATACTTTAAGGACACTGCCTGCACAAATAGATATACAGATATATCGAACATATGATATAATAAGGTAATACGTGATAAGAAGTGTGTTTATTTTTAAACAAAAATAGCATATAATTTTGAAGCTTACTTTTTAAGTGACAAGCGTTCTGCATCTACCAATGGGCATTATTTTTAGTTTTCAGGTTTTCTCTGTAGCAAACAATAGACTCTGTACAAAGGCATCTTTGGATTACAATCCAGAAGTGAAATTATTGTGTAAAAATGTAGCCCCGTCCCCCTTTGTGCTGCTGATTGAACCCGGGGCTTTCACACTAGCTGTATCCCCGGCCTTTTTAATTTTTGAATTATGAGACATGGTCTCACTAAGTTGCCCTTAAATCTTCGATCCTTCTTACTCAGCCTCTCAGAGTGAGGTGTGCCATGTTTTACATTTTATTTATTACCATTTATACCCTGAAAGGGTGATACCCATATGTACTTCTGCCAGCCGTGTGTAAATTGAGACAGCCCTTTCTGCAGATAAAATGTGCAGGGCGGAAGATTGGAGTGTGTACGCATGACTCAATAATTGTCTAAAACCAATGCCATCAGTGTCTCCAGAAGTTTGTATGAAAAGATAAAGAGACCATTTAGACCATAATAATGTGGGAAGGAAGAATCTGCGAAGAGAGTACGCTGGACTACGTTGAACTGGGGGATGGCACCTTCAGCCCTGGTTTATTTTACTGTGAGACAGGTTCTCAGGCCGGCCTTGAATTTGCCACCCTCTTGGTTCGGCTTCTCAGTAGCCGGAGGTACAGGTGTGACCGCAGCACCGGCCACTCTTCCTCTTTGGAACCCACTGGGTTTGAGGGTCTGGTAGCGCCACTGTTTTCTTTCATTGCGCCAGAACTGAAAGATGCCGTCTTCAGTTCTCTTCCTCTACAGCTATTACTACTATCACTAGGATTATTTTTCACAATAAGATAATATCTGGTCATTTTAACAAAAATGTGACACAGAACAAAGATCTTTCCTTGTCTGATTTCCTCTCCTTTTCCACTTGCAGCCTTTCTGATATTTCTACAAAGCTCTGAATCACTTGCTGATATTGGTATTTCTTAATGTACCCACTTTAACTTTTCCGATTTTATTTTTTCTGATAGTTACCACTTAAAGTATGTATAATTTTAAAATTAAAATTAGGTAATATCTGTTGAGACCTGCTAGATAATACATAAAATTCACCGTCACACTTGCTGTGAAATGTGTGGTATTTAGTTCAAGTTCATGCTCTCTCTTCCCTGCTGATGAAGTTCATGTTATTATTTAAAACTAGGTACGTGGGTGCCCAGGGTTTAGCTCAGTGGTTCCGGCGCCTGCCGCGCAAGCGAAAGGTCGAGAATTCGATCCCCGGTACCAACCCCCCCCATAAAACTATGTAAGTAAAATTGACTATTGATTTTCTACTCTGTAGAAAATTCATTATTATAATCCTATTATACAAAATTTTACTCCTAAAAAGATCAGAAGAGTAGTTCCACATCCCGCTACCCCTGCTTGCTTTACTTCATCATTGCTTCTTTGGTGTGAGGCATTCATCTTTCTCACTGTTACTGTGCCTTCTTGATTTAGGCTGATTCTAAGGACCGGACTTAAGTAAGGAGCCTTAGCGAGGCCCTGTTGTAAGTTACTCTTTAAGATTCTGGCACCGCGGGCCGGGGATTTAGCTCAGTGGTTTCGCCGCCTGCTGCGCAAGCAAAGACCCAGGTTTGATCCCCCGGTACCAAAAAAAAAAAAAAAAAAAAAAAGAGATTCTGGCACCAGGTTGTCTGGGTTCACCAACTGGTGTGCGACCCCAAAAGGGTCACTTAACCTCGCTGTGCTGTCTCACAAATGAACGCTACTTATGAGAATAGGACGTGTATCAACAACTCAAATGAGTACTTGTAGTAAAGGTTGGTTGTTATTTTTACTGTTATTAGGAAATGAAGTTGTACAGTTACACTCATAAAAGGAAATACAATCTGTGCCATGGAAACTTACCACTGGAAGAAAAATTCCCTTTTCTTTAAATGTCCAAAGTTTAGTTGAAAATGGTAACAGAGTTTGTTTTACTTTGTTTTTAGCCTGAAATGTTCTTCTACAACTTTGAAACTTCTTAATACTTTTAACAGAAGAATCACACTGACCCTCAACATTTCCCGCTTAATTGCACTATTTAATGAATGTAAATTACTCCTTGGAAATAGTTTTCCTTTGAAGAATTGGAATTCCTGTTCTAATATTCACTAATGTGTAACTTCTTGAGCATTGCTGTAAATGTGAGTTTTTAAAAATATTGAGCTCTTTTAAAAATTTGTCTTTAAGAACCTTTTTACATTTTTTATTAGTGCATATTGATTATAAGGATTAATGAGTTTCATCTTGGCAGATTTGTACATGTCTGTAATGTATTTTAGTCAGCCCCTACCACCATCTCCATGGTCTTCTCTTGCCTTTGTTATACATTTTTGGGGCTTCTGTATGTATATTTTGATCATATTCATACCCCCCATTACCCACTCTTAAGTCCCCCTCCCTCCCTCTAGTTCCCTTCCTCTTGTCTAATAATAGTCTCTCTTCTACTTTTTTGTCATCTTTTTTAGATTCTACGTATTAGAGATCATGTGGTATTTGTTCTTCTGAGTCTGATTTGTTTCACTGAACATGTTAAGCTCCAGATCCATCCATTTTTCTGCAAATGACAAAATTTTGTGCTCTTTAATGGCAGAGTAGTACTCTATTGTGTGTATATACCACATTTTCCTTATCCATTCATCTGTTGATAGGTTCCATATCTTGACTATTGTGTATTATGTTGCAATAAGCATGGATGTGAAGGTATTTCTATGGTATGCCAACTTGAAATGCTTTGGATATATACCAAGGAGCGGTATATCTGGATTAAATGGTATCTGTATTTTTAGTATTTTGAGAAACTTCCCTACTGATTTCCATAATGGCTGTGCTAATTTACATCCTAGAAGCAGTGTAGAACATTTTTTCTCCTCTAGGCTCACCCATCCTCACCAGCATTTGTTGTCTTTTGTGTTCTTGACAGTTGCTGGCCTGACTGGGGTAAGGTGGAATCTCAGTGTTGTTTTGGTTTGTATTTCCCTAATGGCTAAAGATGTTGAACATTTTTTCATATACTTATTGGCTATTTATATTACTTTTTGAGAAGTGTCTTTTCAATTCTTTTGCTCATTTATTGATTAGATTATTTATTTAGTTAGTTCTTTATATATTCTAGATACTAATTCCCTGACAGAAGAGGATCTGGGAAAGATCTTAGCAAAGATTTCCTCCCATTCTCTAGGCTTGTTAGTTGTTTCCCTTGCAGAAATTTTTTAAATTTGATGTAATCCCATTTATTGGTTCTTGCTACTATTTCCCATGCTATTGGAGGCCTATTCAAGATTTTGCCTGTGCCTATGGCTTCAAGTATTTCCGCTATTATTTTGTCCATTTCCTGAAACTCATTTTTTATTGGTATATGTTTGTGATACATATTAATTACATTCATCTTGGGAACCGGTACATAGAGATAGCACATCTGAATCATTTTTATTTCCCCTAGTGGGAATCTTTCCTTCAGCTCTTTTCCAGGTTGGCATGTTGCTTGTTCGGATGTTTCTTTATCATAACACCTGTTCTCTTTTTCCTCACACCTCTTATTAGTTTAAAGTCATATTGGTTGTATTAGCTGGGCCCTTTTGTTGCAAGCAGTAGAAATTGAATGTGAACCAGCCTAAAGAGAAATAAAAATTATTAATTCATATAATAGAACTGAAAAAAAGCTTGTTGTAGTACTCTTTTTCTCCTCACTTGCTTTCTAGCTTTTTCTCTGTTGAGTTGGTCTCTTTGGATATTTTCTTGCTACTTTTGGAAGAGTAGTTCATGTCCCGTAGAAATAAGATGGAGGTTCTAATTACAGGGAAAATTAAAGAAAATATGGTTGCAGGCTCACAGCCTGGGAGCAGGAAAAAGTTATGAATCTTTTGTTTTTCCTCCCTAAAATGCGGCAGAGCAACTACAGTCTTATGAACTGTTCCTTGGTAACCCTACCAGAAACAAAATAATAATTTGGATAAAGCATTTATTTAAATCACTAATATATTTCATGACAAATAAAATACACCTGATGGGGACTTTTTCGTTATGGACGTGAGTGTGAAAGCAGAAAGGATTCATGCATTGTGCTCGTACAAAGGCAGTGTGTGCATAGTTTAATAAGAGGAGAGAAGTCTAAGGAGATTTCAGCTTTTTTTTTTTGAGACCGGGGATCGAACTCAGACCTTCCACTTTCTAGGTAAGGGGCAGAACCACTGAGCTAAATCCCCAGCCAATCAGCCTTCTGTGAACCAGAGAAGGTGGGTCCGAGCTCAGGTCTGACTCAGGTGTGGGAAGTGGCTTTGTATCTTGGTAAGCATGTGAGTGAGTGCCAGGACTTCCATTTCTGTACGCTGATTGAAATGTCTTATTATCCCAACACTGCCACCAATTTAAATTCCATTACCTGGACAGTTTTCTCCTCCAAGGCAGGGTGCTGGAC